GGTTGTCTAAGAGGTCTACCAAATTTGTTCTGTGGGACTAACAAAGAACTGGAAGTCCAGGAAAAGCAGAAGAATAAAGTGCAGAAAAACTGAAAATATCATGGAAGAGGAGCTAAGGAGCCACAAACATGACTTGACAAACAGGAAAGAAAGTGAGAGTACCCAGAAATGGGGAGTGAGGAAATCACAGCTGCAGAAGCTGCAAGCCAGAGTAGTAAGTTGACAGATGGGAGGGACCAGGAGAGATGCCTGGGAAGCTGCAGCATTAGTAGCCAGAGTAGTTTCAGTGCTGTCTCGGTGGCTTAGAAGCCATTAGTTCTGATGTAACTGAAGGACAGAGAAAACAGGGTTTAAAGTCATGAGGCCTTGCAGTGGCACCACCAAAAGCAGCGAGCTAAGAATAAAAATGTCAGAGAGAGGAGTAGAGGTTTATGCCAGCTATGCAGGTGCAGATAGCACTCCAACAGGAACTAGCAGGTGGAGGTCAGATATGGGAAGTGAGAGAATCACTGACACTAAGAAATGAGAAGCAACAGCTACAAAGAGAAAGAGAAAAGTAAAAATAGACAAATTTTATTGTAGCAGACTAATGGCTCCCAACAGAATGAGAAGGGTTTCCAGAATTCACTGTGGGAACTCTGCATGGGGCATTTTACAGGATGCTAGGGCACTCTTCTTCCCTGACTCCCTCCCACTCTTCCTCTTAGGTTTTGCCCAGGTTACTCTCCTTTGGGTGGGCTCTGATTCTAGCTGCTAAGACCCTCAGCACTTACAAGAATTCTTCTGGCTGTTATTGGCTGTCACAGCTGTAAAAGCCCTAGTGGGGGTGAATAAGAAACAGCCTGTGACCCAGATGGTCCTCTGACCCTGCCATGACAAGCCACGTCCTGCCTCCTATCCACCCTCTGGGAAGCAGTCATGCCCATTACCTCTTCCAGCCAATCGGTTGACGTTAGCTGCTTAAAGGGGAAGGCATAAGGGTATAAAAGCTGGGAAAACCACAAGGCCACCACAAGGCCGTTTTGTAAGGCTGTCAGGAACCACGGGATTTATGTTTGGGTGTGGACTTTCGAACACAGCTGTGAATGGGGTGGGGGGGGCGCTCACTCTTCTGTAAAGTAAACCCACACCCCAAACTCAGTTAGGAAGTCCAATAAAATCCTTAAGATTCTTCAAACTGGGATTTGGAGAATTCTTACCTCAGGTTGTTGTAAGGACAGTGGGAGGAGGGGATTGGATGCCACAGTGTGCCTCCCAGCAGTGAATTTGACTTACACAGTGCTTCTTAGAGGCACCATCTTTCCTACTCAGTCTAAGTTCCTCTAAATCTCCCTCGCTTTCTGATGTGTTTCTCTTTAACTTAGAATTTAACATCAGTTTCTATCACATTTGGTTATTCAACATTTCAATACATACCAAGAGGGAAGGATAAATGCTTAGCTTTTTCCACTAGTAGTTAATTTCTAGACCGAAAAGAAGCTCAAGTTAGCTTTTATGTTGTCCAACATCTTTGAAATGGTTGTATTTCTTTTTGCTTTTTCCTTTTATTTTTATTGAGCTTTTGTAATTTCATACAACAGAGAAATAGGTTGGGGTCCAGCACTAAACTGACAACTATTCCTTTTTTATATATTGAATGCATCCTTGATGTTGTATTCATGAAATTTTTCTGGAGTTTTCAATGGAAATGATCTAGGGGCGAGGATATAACTACAAGGAAAAGAGCTTGTCAGTATGTACAACCCCCCATATTTCATCCCAACCATAATAAACAAATAAATAAATAAAAACAAATAAATTCCAATTATACGTCATTGTTTTAGCCTCATTAAGGATCTATATGTAGCAAGTCAC